TTAAATCGTAATAATGTATTTCAATAAGAATATTTAATTGTTTTTTATGTTTGAAGAGGACACTCTGCTGATTGCTGATTTCCCCAAAGATGCCAAGCAGTAGGAAGGTTGTGTGTCCTCTAAATATTGGCCATCTCTCTTGACAGAAAAGCCCATGTGGCATGAGGATGTGTTTTAGTGCTTTGATGTGTGGAGAATTCAAACAGGTACAGGAGAGTAAATGTTACCTTCTTTTAGTCTAGGGTGAACAGGCCAGGAAAGAAAATCATACATAAATTGAAAATTGTGCAGCTGCAACTCAACATTTGAACTGAGCATGAGAATGACTAAGGGAGGGGATTCAAGCGACTTTTGATTCTGGACTGACTGGTTGGAGTGTTTTAGAAACTGATCTACTGGGAATTTCACCACCCATTTCCTTCCCTTGAGTTTTCAGAAGTGATCTGAAAAAGAAAAAAAAAGTAATGTTTTATATATACATAGTCGCTAATGATTGGGTAATGTTTGGAAGTATGGCCAACAGGGAATGTTGGCCACAGCAGAAGATGTGAACATGAATGGCTATGTTCACATCTTCTGCTGCCATTGCTAAGACTACAACTATCGGCAGACTACTATTTTAAAACAGCACAAAAAACTGACATTATCATTCACAACTCCTCTTTCTATTCACTGATTGGCCAGATTGAAATTCAACTGAGCTCAGTGGGAAAAATCCCAGATAGAGCACTGAAGGGAGATGAGAATTGAGTGGAATTCAGTAAGACCCAATGGTCAGTTGTTTTGTTGTTTTTTTTCACTCTGTATCAGCTGAGCGTTTGGATACTGGAAGCAATGCTGCAATGGATGCTGTTTCAGCAGCGAGTGTTGTGGCACAGTAAGGCAACTGGGAGTGCCAGATGAAATCATTCATATGCTTCCTTTTCGGAGGATAAGCTTGCGTTTCTTTATAGTATGTGAACTATATATTTGTATGCCCCTTTTCACATTTCACAATGCTTGGTCACGTCTTATTTTAGTTTAATGTGTTAAAACACAAACTGTTTCTGCTATAAAGTCCACAAAGAAACAGTCCATATATCTGATGAAGATAGTACACATATGAAGGCTAATCTTGGCGACTGTTCAGGACCAGCGCTCTGTGAATTTTCCCTTTGAGTACCCATTGACAAGTGGCATTTATTCATGAACGTTGTGAGCATTATCCATAAGTGAGGGGTCACCCATGTGTTTTTTGTTTGTTTGTTTGGTTGTTGTTTTTTTTTACTTTTGCTAAATTACTTTCAGTATGTATGATGCAGTTTATAGTCATGGTTTTTCATGATGGGAATGCAAACAAATGGGAATTCTGTCAAACAAACAGATAGGGAACATGCTGTTACATGTTGTTTTAGAGGAAGGTCTGTACTGCATATCTACCTTTTTTTATCAGAAAACAAGGCTGGCTTGATTGCTTGTTTTGATTGCTGGATGAAACATTGTGCATTGTTGTTAGACTTGTCAGATGCTAACTGAATGTTGGCTTGTTCGTATTAGCACCTGGTTTTGTTAGATTTTTTTTATTATTTCCCCATAGGGGGGTAACAACAATGCAGACTGCTAATTGAAATGAGAAATACAATATATTTTGGAAAATTAATGATAGCCTGTTCTATTCAGTTTCATCTTTTAAAGCAAGAATGGATTGCGAAAAAGTTAATATGGCGCCTTAAATTCTGGTACAAAAAATATGTTTTTAAGTTTAAGTCATGCTCGTTTCTAAATCTGAATTTAAAAGGCAAACTTAAAACCTTTTAAAATGCCTTCCAAACTGGTAAGCATGGTTTTCCATAATACATTAAAACAATTTCAAAATCACCCTCACTATTTTATTTTTATTTTGGCGAATATCTGGAATGCTTGGTGATTGGGGTGTCATATGCAACACTTACTTTTCATTATGAGAGTCTTTGGTTGAAACAATGAGTCTACCCTTTCAGAATGTACTTTACACAGATATAATTAGAACACAGACACACCAATATCACAAGCTTAAAAGCAGCGTGCAACTGCCAGAGGCAACTGGCAATCACTAGATGTTGTTCACATGATTAAGATTGTCAGTTTATAGGTTAGCAAAAAATAGAAAAGTTGAAAACTATTGTTTAAGCTTTTGAAAGGTTAAATTTTACTCACTGTTGACAATTAAAGTTGTTTAAACTGTATTCCATCCTCACTTTTGAGGATTACTAAAAAGACCTTTTTGTTACATTCTTTTTTAGTTTTAAAAATATCTAACATCTTCTTTCACACTTTGAATCTAATGTTGAATATACTGACAAAACTAAACAGTTATTGCATCATATGAAGATGCTCTGAAGATATTGCAACATGTGAAGAATTTGTATATGTTTAGGTTGTGTTCTTGAGTTATTGATTTTCTTGTATTTAAAGCAAAGAAAAACCCTGATTGTTTTCTCCTCTTTAGAAAATGTTTTTCCCCTCAGCTGTTGCAGTTGCTGTGTCATAAAGAACACATCCCTGGTTGGAATTCCCCAGGAAATGTTCAGCTAGAGGGTGGGAAGAAAGGGCTCAGAGTCATTGGAGAGTGTGATTGTTGAACAATATTTAATGCATGAGTGTGTAGGAGGTGGAAACTAAAGCTGACCCCATGCTGTCACTGTGACCCAACCTTTTTTTTAAAGGGAAATGGAACCCTTTGCATGTGGCCTGCTGTCTGTGTAATCGCAGCCTCTTTAGGGGTTGGCTTCCTTCCAGTTCAAGGTCTATACAGAACAGAAAAGGGTTGATGTAAAAGCTGACTGCCTTCCTTAGACCTTTACAAGTGCTTACATTTTTTTTTTTTTTGCAAAAGAACAAAATAGCAGGTAGAGACACTCGATTTATTGTTGGCATACAGGTAGTTTGCAAGATTGCGTGACGTTGTGGCCATAATTGTGTCAGAATGAATCAACTAACTAAACAAGAAATAGTTGTTTGTGTTATAATATGACTACTGGCAGCCAGTCACCTTAAAAAAATCATGTTGTTCAGGGGGTTGTTTAAGGAGTTGAGATGGCTCAGTAACTGGGTCAGATCACCTTCAGAACTGCAGCTCTTGTTGGGTGTTCCTTGTCTTGACTGGTCTTTTTTTTTTTTTGTCAAAATTGGTCCTGAAAAGACACTGTGACAAGCAGTTCTCAGGGACATGGGGAGGAAAGGTTCACTGATGCAGGTAAGGCCAAAGACTGGCCAATGTTGTCCTGTCCAACAAGTTTACTACAATTCATATTTTTGAAGAAGTTAACGCTGGTTTTGAGAGAAGGATATCAAATACACAATCTACAATACAGACATTGCTTTGGCCTTAAGATTTCACAGTTCTATGTCCAATCAAGCATTTGTGAGATGTATTGTAGAGGCAACACTTATCTGTGGAGGTCCCATCTCACAACTTTATAGACTCAAAGAATCTGCTGTCCACTGTAAGCTGGCACCTTTGGGGTCTATTAGAGTCCATGCCTCAATAGGTCAGTGAGACCATAAGGAGGGGGCTGAATAGGTGGAGGAAGATGATCCCTGACCATTTTGTCACACTGTCACAGAAATGGCATGCTGTGGTATAAGTAAGATATATGGTGTAAGGATATTTAGGTGGCTTGAGAAAAGAGTAAGGTACATAGCTGATCAGCTGAACAGGAATCTCTCAGTGAGTTCTTAGCTATTTAGATCTTAAAAGTAGTGTCATCTTAAAAGGCATATATCATTGTTATATGCCTTCATTGTTATCATTGTTACTAATATATTGGTAAGCAAAACATTGAGACCATCTCCAGCATTTTGCACTTGCAGAACAATAAACATCTATGAATTTCTGCATTTTGTAATTTAATTTATTGATGAAAGAGAAAACCCAGTCAGTTGACAACACAAAAAATGTGGCATCAGTTACAGTTCGCTTGGCTGTACTTCACAATAATAAATGCAAACTATGAAAGTTTGCATTTATACTCTCAATCCAACACTTACTAATTAATATGGCGCATGTTGAGCATGTTCTACACCATTTGGTTGAAGTGGCGTAGTTCTGTTAGTGATGTGTAAGCAGCTACCAGAATTGGGTCAATAAGCGCTACCAGGACATGTTCAGTCTCAGGTCACTGGCAGTTGCACAGCCTTGCGGCACATCTCATGATGAGGTCGAGTGAGACACCAGCTTGGAGCCGTAGACCCAAGCTCCAGCTTCCTCAGTTGTGCATTCAGAAGTCTGTTCTAAATTAGATTTGTGGCAGAGATCGGAAATCTGAGGCTTCACTGAGAATCAGGTGCCTTCATGCGGTTTACTGGTGGGCTGCTTTTATTTATATATAAATGTGTTTAGGATTTTGTGTTTCCATGTTACTTTTACCACACATTTTTATTGATGATTTGACTGTGAATATGAATATACTGAGTATAATCCTGGAGGAAACACGCTCACTCTGGTTTTACAAAGAAACACTGGGCTGAATCAGTGCTCGAAACAAACTGATTATCAGTAAACATCATGTGATAACATTTCTGAGGAACATGTGATATATCGGTCCCTTTAGCAAAGTGGAAAGGATCAACTGATGTTCCTTTGTCTCTGACAGATTAATTATATTTAAAAAGTCCTTTGCAATGTACTGTATTTGAGAGTAAGACAGACTGCTGTGTTGCTGTGTATGGTCAAGATTTTTTCCACTGTTCTCATGATGCAAACTGCTATTTCAGAAGCTTTCAACTTGAATTGCTTTTGTGAAGGTATAATGGTTGCATGTTCCTGCTCGTTTATGCACTCTTTTGTAAGCACACTGTTGGAGCTCTGGGTATCTCCCGCCAGAAATGGTTTAATTGTCATAACTGTATTTGATGTTAGGCTTAAAAAGGACATCACAAAGTCTTTTGTATGCTTGTGTTATGACAGTGGCATTTGTAATTACTTCTATGAATACAATCCAAAGTATGTGTTGAAAACCTTTATAAACTCTGCAGTTTTTCATGGCCAGTACATGAAAACATGGATGTGAAATGCTTTCAAAGCCTCCGATGGTTTTTCTTTTACTCCCAAGCATGCTGAGCATGTATTTTTCTGACAGGGTTGTCGAATGGATGCCACAGGAGAGAGAGGTCACTGACAGTGGGGCAGAGATTCCCGATACACAGCATCAACAATCTGCATGAAAGATAAATCATAGGCAGTCTGGTAAGGGTGCTGTAACACTATACAGTGTGGACATTAATCACTTGGTACTCCTTTATGATGATTCACAGCCATATCTAAAATATGTTGAAGGTGAAGCAGATATTGGAAAACTGGTGGTTAAGAAAGCTGCAAAAATGCTGCAAGAAAAAAAAACATATATATAAAGTGCCTGCTTAATAGGTCAGATGACACCATTAACAAAACGAACATTGATGTAAAATTCTTATCTTTGTGTTCAGGAATTCATTTCTGAGGATCACCATTACCACCAATGAGGGGTGATTGTTAAGTTGTTGAAATTAGTGCAGAGTAGCTCCTTTGTGTGTCTCCTAATGTGTGAATTTCGTTGACCGTCTAGAAGGAGGATTCTGTTCAACTGATTCCTGCCAGAATGTCAAAAGTTTGGGCCATAAGATCATAAGAATTTGTTTGTGTTGCACCATATTATATAAATATTGTGTTGAAATGTAAATAGTATTACAAAATTCAAATATTACAAGATATGCATGCAAATAAAAGTCTCACAGGTGATCAGGTTCTACTGGAATTTTGAATGATTGTTCCAGTTGACATCGGGAAATGTGTGCAACCACAAACTTAGGTGGTGGACTTGGCCTGTTTAAAGATGTTAGATATGACATGATGAGGCCTCCAATATTTGATGATTTAAGATTTTTTAGCCTTCATCATCACTTTTTTGCCATTTGAAAACATCCTTCTAATATCACATGTGGCTTTTTTGATCAGATAAGCAGGAAGTGTTTACATTTTTAAAAAAAAATTAAATAGATCATTTTTATTTTAAGTGCTCTTATTCAATACTGTCATTCTCAGTCTTTTTTGACAGATTTATATTCATTCCATCCATCTGTTTTCCATACCTGCTTATCATTGCTGGGTTGCCAAGAAATGGTGTCTATATCCAGCTGTCATTGGACAAGAGGTAGGGTACACTTTAGTAGGTTGTTGTGATCCTATCCATTCCTAAGAAGAAAAATATTCACAAATTAGTAACAGCACACCATAGCTTTGTCCAAAATTCAGAATTATTTTATCCCCCTGCAGTGGTGCAGCTGGTCTGTTTTAGGATGCATCATGAGCTCAAGAAATTCCCACCCTTCAGATTAAGCAGGCACTTTAAATATTTTGCCGCTCAAAGACACCCAGGTGTGAAGACAAAAATGAAGGAGAATGAGATGGAAAAACGGATATAATAAATATTTAAAACTTAACTGCTGCTGTTTTTTTCATAGAAAAGGCAATGGTTTCACACCAAGGTTAATTGTGAGCTGTCAAGTCCTTTGTGTGTACAGCAGCTATAATACTGGTTTTTTGATGGCCTAGGGGGAAAGGACTCCCCTGTCTGATGAGAAGCACTAGAATTACTACTCTGATCCTCTGTGGGCCGTGAGGACTGCTGACCAAGCAGAACTCTCTCTGTCTCTAAGTTGCTCTCCCTCGCCCTCTCCCACCACTTTTCCTCAGTGTTCTGGGTTTTGTAGTGAGGGGGCCGACACCTCAGCTTTTCTCATATAACAGAAGGCTTATGTGTCACACTCTCATCAAAATTATTTCATATTAGCCCAGTGGAAGTGCATTTAGCAGCTGGAGGCTGTAAAGTAGGAGTGATTGCAGCACTTTATCCCTGTATATACAGCTCATCAGCACAGCACTGACCTTGTGTAAGGACAGAGATTCTCTGGTTACCTTCATTGAAAGCCAATAGCTAGAATTACATCCTTTGCTTTGCTTTTAAAGATAAAGTTGACTCAGGAAAAATTTCTGGTGAAAAGGGAAATTCTACACAAAAAAAAAAGAAAATGCTTGTGCCTCAAATATAAAGCTTACTGTGCTGTAAGCTGTATGCCTCTCTTAGACAAAGGGCTAATATTTTACACCCCCACTCTTAAAAGTGTTTGACTAATTGATTAGTTAACATACTTTAAACAGAAAATCCATCAAGTTCCATTTAATCCACCGTTGTTGTCCCTCCACAGTTTAGTGCCGTCATGTTGATGGATCTTTCATAATCCAGTGCTCACCAAGGACAAAACCTTTGACATTTGCTGTAATTACTAGAGGTGGTTTAATTGAGTGAGTCAAACGCGTCATTTGGAGCTACTTGACATCTTCAGTACAGCAGATTCCAAAGTGAGTTATTACTCCTATCTAAACTTTGTGCCAGCAGTGTCTTGCAAAAGCATTCATACCCCTTGAGTCTTTTTCCATTTTGTTGTGTTACAACCACATATGCTTTATTTGGATTTTTTTCTCAAAAGAGTTGATTGTTTTTTCAAAACTCTACAAAGAAATATCTGAATCAATACAATTCACATCAACCTTTTACTGTGATTACTGTGCAAGACTTTGATGTTAGATTTAAAAAGGACATCACAAAGTCTTTTGTATGCTTGTGTTATGACAGTGGCCAGAAGACCTGAGAGGTCTGGAAGGTTGATACAACAACAGCAGATCTTTGATGTGTTGTGGTGCTAAACCGTTCAGTGATTGGTAAACTAACAACAGTATTTTAAAATCTATTCTTTGAGCTACAGGGAGCCAGTGGAGGGACTTTAAAACTGGTGTTATGTGCTCTATCTTCCTGGTTTTAGTGAGAACACGAGCAGCAGCGTTCTGGATCAGTTGCAGCTGTTTGATTGATTTGTTGGACAGTCCGTATTTATATGGGTATCATTGAATACTTCTGACTTTAGAAGTCAGAAGACAGTTTTAGGTAGGAAATGAGTTGAAGTATATTTTACTTTTGTTCAAATAAAGGGAGTAAAAGTAAAAAGTGGTCAAGAAAAAAAATTGCCCAAAATAAAATACAGAAAAAGCTACTTACCTACAGTGATGACATGCTTGTACGTTGTTACTTCCCACCTCTGTTGTAAGCTGGAAACATATGAAAACTATTGTGAAAACCTTTACAAGACAATGTGTTGGCTTTTTATAGAAAGTGGCAATTTGATTCTTATTTCTTTTTGTGTACAAGAGGGAACTTTTTTCAAGTTAATAACTCTGTGCACTTGTGTTAGCACAGCTGTGTTAATGTGACATAAAGGTGAGTGAACTCAGTACAATTACAAACTAGGAAAACAGAAAGCAGTGTCTTTTTCTCCTTTGTGCCACTGTGTCTCTTGATGTTCATGTGACCTAGAAATGAATCTCAGCAAAGCAGCTTGAAGGATGTCTAAATTTATTAAATGCATCTGGAGTAGAAAGGAAGCATGATGAATAAGCTTCTTTTCGGTGTATTTGTAACTTAATTTTTTATTTTTTAATAACTTTTGTATTGCAAAACTAATGTAAACCCCTTGTTCTTACCCCCAAAATACATACAACACATGTCGGTCACTGGTGTTCCTGAAGTCAGCAGTCTCCCCATGACAGCTAAGGGATTAAGCTCATTTGACAGAAATAATGACTCCAGAAGTAAGCATTAAGAAACAATCAAAAGAATTTTAACTTGCTTGCAATGGAAAATCTACACTTTTAGAAGGGTAGAGGATATGTTGCCAAGAGAGTATTCAAAGACAAGCACTGAGGTCAAGCAAACTTAAGAATAACAAGAGTTAGCAGAACACTGCGCACATTGCAATAAAAGCTTTACATTTTGTCCAGGAACTTTCAGTTACAAGCTCACATGACATTATAAAATTCTCCATCTGTACAATTCAAACAGTAAGCTGTTGTTGCTTTTATAATGGTAGGATAAGATTAAGTCTAGAAACTGCGATCTCATTTGGCTTAAAAATGCATGGGTCAAGTTTTCCTCAGCACTGTTTAAAATGTGTTAGTTCACAATGGAAAAGTTGATTCTTTCATAAAACTAGCCTGCATGCTAAAATTCTAATTAAAATGTTTCGAGCTCGCATGGTTACTTTATGTTTCACATCAAGTCATCTCAAATTAAGCCACCACTTATTTGTTCCTTTATCGTTTTCTACTTGTCACATTATGAATGTGTTTATGTTTATGTTTGTGATAATAGGACAGAAAATGTTTTTTTGTTTTCTGGCATGCCTCGTAAGCAATTTTTCAGCATGCAGATAGCGTGCCACACTGATTGACCCCCTTAGAAATTCTAACTGGGTCAATCAGTAGTGAATGGGAGAAATCCAAGTGAATGGGAGAAAGCAAAATTGAGCGGTGACACAATAGCATAGGAAGGCAATGGCCAGGGTAGTATGATAGTGAGTTTTTGGAAATAATTCTTGTCACCATTGTCCTTGATGTACCTGGGCAAACATGGGTCCTCATCCAGCTTTGTCCCAGTTTTACTGGTTTTCCTGTTACCTTTTACATAGCCACTGAATGTTGTTGTTTTTTTTCTTTAAAAGTGACAGCTTGTCACTTTCAAAGAAGGTGAGCACTGAGATGAAACGTGCTCCTTTTTCTATTAATGGGTATTCCCACATTAATTTCCCTGTTTTACTTCTTAAAAAATGAATTGTTGATACTTTAACTACAGGTAACAAGCCAAAGGCTATAAACTAAGGCTTTTAGAGGTTTTTTCCTCATATTAATAATTATACATGTTAATCAGAGAAAGCCAAAATGGTTGTGAAAAATTAGATTACAAGGTTTGAACGTTTGAATGAATTGGTGGTTATTTCTATTCATATCACAGACTAGTAACAACTTTCCTTAGTAATCTATCTGCAGTTTGGTGGCTGACTGAAGGGCTCCTGGTGTCACTTTTGTCATCATGATAACTGCAGCAATATTGCACTGACCAAAGATATGCCTTTTCAGAAAATGGTAGTGTGCATTCTTAAGACTGATTGTAATATTTTAAAAGGACTGGAAAATATTGGCAGATTTGTCAACAGATAGATTATATTTTCTGACCTCTTGTCAAGCATCTGCAGCAAATGCGATTATTTAAATTCAAAGTGTGCATCCATTGTACAATGTCCTGATGTTACATTCTGTAACCTTGTTTTTCTGTGTACTGCTGAGGCCAGCACTGAACGGAAGCTGAATATAAATGTTGTCTTTCTCAAGAGCAGACTGTATTAATATAGAAGAAACACCTTAATCGGTTTGATCTAAAATGACTGACATTTGGTTTAATTTTCTGTAACTGATTTATGGTATCAGCTATTCCTATGAAACTAATAACTCCCTAAAGCAGAACCTATTAACTTGCAAATGTCAAATGTCTATATATTTTATTTCACCTATGCTTGTCTCTACATATGTTAACCTGGTGTTTAATGTATTAAGAAATTCGATTGAACAAGTGTTTTTCAGAAACAGCTTTTTTATTTACTCAAAGCTGAAATAATTTATCATTCAAAACATGAAAACAAACAAAAATGTATGATGTAGTCTTTACCTTAAGCATTACCTTAAGCATGAATTGAGGGTGTGGAGGTAGAATAACAGATTTAGGCAGGTCTATGAAAGATTGGCTGATTCTGTTGTTTTTGTGTCAAACTTACCTTTCAGAGTTCAAGTTTGGTTTCATCAAACCTAAACAAATGCCTGATTTGACCTGATTTGAGACTTGGATGTTTTCTTTGAAGGAAAGGCTTCCAGTCATGAATTGCTACTTCTTAGTCGAAACATATTTACAATATTGGAGATTGTTGTCTTATGTAGCATATATCTGTATGCAATCACCAGTTTCTGTGGTGATCAATTTTTTATTGTTGTTGTTTTTTTAGATGTCACTTTTTTCTCATGATACATGTTTTCACTATGCAATGGAAAATAGGAAATGCTCTGTAGGTTTTTGTACTCTTAAACTTACTGATATGCTTGTAAAACCTTCCATCCTTCCATCGTTGAATTGAGATCTGTCTGCACTCCCATAGGTAGCAAAGTTGAGTTAGTGACCTTGGTGTTATTATCCTTGATTGGCCAGCAAACTGGCCTGACCTGAATTCTACAGATAATCTGTAAGATGAGAGACACCAGTCCCAAACTGCAGATGACTTAAAGTACAGGTGTCAAACTCCAGTCCTCAAGGACTGGTGTCCTGCACCTTTTAGATGTGCCTCTGCTACAACACACCTGAATAGCATAATTAGGTCATTAGCAGGGCTCTGGAGAACTTATCTGCAACAGAAGGAGGTAATTAAGCCATTTCATTCCAGTGTTTTGTACCTGTGGCACATCTAAAAACTGAAGGACAGCAGCCCTTGAGTTTGACACCCCTGAAAGCGTCCTATCAAAGCAACCTGGGCGACCTTAACATCTCACATTTTTGCACTATCAAAATTAAAAGATCAGTAATGTGAATCCGAATGATGTATTTGCATGTATTGGTTACTTTGTTCAAATAATTGCTGTAATTTATGTACATGCCTCCTGTTTGCTTTTTGTTTTAGTTTTTTTTCTCTGTGTCAGTGCTGGATAAGTTTTGTTATTGTCTTTTCCTTTTTTTTTGTCTCTCTTTCTGTACAAATTTTCAAAATACTAAATAAACATAAAATTTAAAAAAATATACATATTTCAGATACACTTCTCTAAATGCAAAGATCCACAAAACAAAGATCCAGTATAAATAAATTTTATCTGAAGAGTTTTTTTGTTTTTTTTCCCCACTGAGAAATAAGCAAGAAATATCTTTTTCCATAAATCCAAAATATTGGATTCCCTGAAGAAAGTAGCTACGTTTGGCACTCTGGCATTTCTATTTTAAAGCACATCACCCACTGCATTGAAATCAGAATCATCCATCAAGTATGAATTTTAACATTGTCATGAATGAAGTCTGCCACTGAAAATTGGCAAAAATGTCATATTTCTGTTACTGCTGCTTTATTCAGTGATGCATATGATGCTAATTTCGAGGACATTTCACTGGCAAGTAAATCTCATTGCATTTAAAGAAGACACACAAGCTAAGCCTTCTTCGTTTGCAGTTTTATGTTATATTTCAAATACCTTTTTCTATAACACACTCATTTTCTGTGTACTATGTGAATGCATTATACAGAAAGCCATTCAATATTTCCAATGTTTCATATGCTTTTGTTCGAGAAGCACAGCACCTCTCTGCAAGACGTCCATGTAAACCTTCTTCCTTATGCACGCATTGCTCAGCACTTACAGCAAACTGCATCAACTGAATTAGCGTAATTGGATAATTCCAAACTAAAAAGCCTTTTGTAAAGCAGGTGGCGATCACTTTCATCAAGGAACACATTAAACCATTTTCCTCATAGTGATGAACAAAACACATTCGGGGAGCTCAGTGCGCTGTTCCAAATGTTTGTGAGAGAATATGTGATGCAAAAATCAAACAACAAAGAGGGTGCACATGGGAAAGATCTGTGAAGTGCATTTTTCTCTCAGATCAAATATTAGATAAGTGTTCCAGACATGTATCCTTTTTCAGGCTAAATTGAGATGCAGTGTAGAGGTTTAAAAATGATCCTGTGTTGATTTCATGCCATCACCACCATCTGTTAAGTCCACTACATGGCAGCTGTTTCCATATTTCTCTGTTGAGTCTTCATTTTCCTCAGACACACAGATTGATGGACCAGTAGCTTAATGGAGGCTAGTTGCCTCTGTGCAGTGGACATGCTAGACCTGTGTGGCTATACCCATGAGATAATGTATTCTCCCTCCAGTCTGGCTGCAAGGGTATCATGTAACACAGCCAGGTGTGTGTGCAAGCCTGAGGTCAAAGGTCTGACTTGCATTAATGGACTCAAACTGGCTGTCCTCCCATTGAAACTAGTATCAATTGGCTGATTTGCCGCTTTTTGTGTCTGGTAATTCTTCATTTCCTTCAGCTAGCTTCTGGTGTTTCTCAATCATTAACCATCCTTTCTACCCTTTTCATAATCCAAAATCAAATGTTCTGCTGCCACATGTAGGATTATTGATGCTGTTATTTAATGAGTGTCAGGGTTTCTGCCGTTTATCTCTGA